GTCGACTATGCTGAATCTGATGGCAATACTTGTTTTTCAAAAAAGTTTCAAAAACCTAGTGGAAACGTATTATTTGGTGAAATATCCCATTTCTGCCTATTTTCGATTAAAATAAAAAAGATTCATAGCCCGGTCAAGATTCATACAAATTATGTCGGAATATCAAGAGGTACTCTATTTTACCTTCTTCAAACTATTTTTTACTTGAGAATAGTAAAGAACCTTCTTGCACCTCGGAAGATTCCTAGAAAACCTTTTGAAAAGTCGAAGTATTTTCTGTTGATTTTGTAGCTTTTATTAAACTGCATAGTATTGAGCAGGTACCTCTTGATATGAATCTTTTTTATTTTAATCGAAAATAGGCAGAAATGGGATATTTCACCAAATAATACGTTTCCACTAGGTTTTTGAAACTTTTTTGAAAAACAAGTATTGCCATCAGATTCAGCATAGTCGACAACCTATGTTTTCATGCATTTCTGGCAGTCTAAACCTAACGACAGAAAACTCATAAGGTTTCGGAAAAATTGCCCATAGCGCTCGAACCAAGCAAAACCAAACTTTTGCTTAGATCTTATTTTATAGAGGACACTTCAGACTATCTATCTACGAGAAAAGAAGGATAGATTACCATGTTTCTCGAAATCCGAGCTATTTTCCCAAAGATCTTGTAGAAACAGATCTTTCAAAGGTTTTTGAAAGCCGATTTTGTTTGTGAAAGTATAGCTTAAACTGTCGTCTTTTGATTGCTAAAACCCGCACATCTCTGTGTTTTATCGCTTTTGAGTTATCCAGAAAAGAATCGAGTACATTATATTGTGGGTTGGATAATAATAATGACTACAAGCGAGTGGATTTATTTTATGGGTTTATTTTTGAGCTGAGCCTATGAAGTTACTGATTTTATTGGAAATTTGTAGGATTTCTTTATTTTGTTAGTTTGTAGAATGTTGGTCATATCTGAGTTGAGTTTTTTTGTATTTTCGGTTAAGGTTGGTGTTTTGGGTTTGAGGGTCTGCAGTAGGTTTTTTATTATTTGTGATTTATATTTCATATATTTCTGATTTAATTAAAAAAAGTTCTTTTTTTAGCCTTGTCGTTTTTATCTTGATAATAAGGTTGTTTTACATTAATTATTCTCTTTTATTATTGTGTTGGCTTTAAATCATTTGCATTGTTTTGAAGAGTGATCAATTTTGCTTGTAGTTCAGAGAATGGTAATAATACATGACCAATATTATGAATAAAAAGGCCAGGAAGACAAACATTATCTGTTTTTCCACCAGCATAAAAATTACCGCGTACTTCCACTACGTCAAATACCGATTTTATTTCTCTTCCAATATCGTTCATATTGTCTTCTGAAACTTCTAAAGCAGAAATACTGTTGGTTATCATCAATTGTATTTAGCCAACTAATCATTAAATTAAAACCAAAAACCAACGACTTGATTTTCTAGCATTCAGGTTTTCTAGGAACCCTACTATCAGGCTTTTAACTGTCTAGATTTTCTGACTAACTCAGCTTGTAGAGAATTTCACGGCCTATCTAATAATATTCTTTTGAAAAATATATAGTTTTTCTTTAAGACGGAAAAGTGAATGCTTACGGTGACCGTTTAGTTCGATTTTGGTCGCAAAACTTTCTGTAACAAATTTGTTTATCCCAAACTTTTCACGGTTATTCCAGATAGTACACTGAGAGTACTATGTACTGCAAGTAGTCCGACTTCAACGTAAGTTCATAATAACGAGATCGATCGCTCACAAAAGTGTTTCATGAAGCTCCGTTTCGGTCATGTTGTAATGTATGTGGTAAGAGGTATACGTAATATTTGTATGTCATTATATGGTAGACATCAAGTACTACCTATCCTGAAATAATCGCGGTTCCATCTCTTCTCGTTCACGAGAAAAACGAAATGTATGTTGTCACGCGCATAACTTCTGGAACTTTACTCCAGTCGAAAAAGTTTCATATCTACAGAACGAAAAGTTTGGGTAGCCTACAAATTTGAACTTTAGGTTTTCGACCATGCTCTACAAGATGAGACTACTCGGAAAAATTTGAAATAGTCATTGAACACGCTTCTGTGAGAAACAGTCATCATTCTCGCGCAATGACTTTTAGGAGCACATGAAGAGATTCGAAGTATGTTCAATCACATCACCAGAAAGCCCTATCTTTTTCTGCTATATAATCCTCGAGAAAATCAAATAACAAAATAACAAATCGATATTTGTTAATCTCACCCATGGGTCTTTCATTTAAATAGGTTTCAGCTTACGCAATAAAAGTCAGTGGAAATATGGGAAGATCTCCACTGAATTACCCTTTAGTAAACAACGAACTCGAAAATTCGGACGTTGCTGTTCGGAATAAGTTTTCGGCTTCCTCATTTCGTATCGAACAAATTTTGGGAGATTTAAACTAACGTAGCATTGAATAAGTGCCAGATCACAGCTAACTTTTTCGTTAATTGTTCACTTGATTGGATCCGGTTGATTTTTACCTCATTATACTTGTGGGTTTACGTTAAAAATCCATTTGGTAAACCCAGGTAACATCATTGTTTGCCGAATGACTCGGTTACATGTGCAGAAAAATGATAGTCCCTATAAAAGTGAACCTATATATTATATTATATAGGAAGTACGCTGAAAATCAACTTTTGACTGGAATGTTTTAAACGGCAGTTTATCAGTTTAAATACTCTTTCAAAATGAAACACGTAGGTTAATTAAATTCTTTCACTTAAACAAATTTGACGAAGAAGAAAAGTGAGAGAGAGAAATAATCAACTGAAATTTGACCGTAAATAAAACGTTTCGTACTTTTGTTTGGTATGTCTTTCTTTCCGTCTGCCTATAAATACAATACGCTTCAACATAGACGATATAATACACATAGAAAATGGAAAGAAAAATAAGGAAATAAACTTCCGCTGCGATCATTTATAAGAAAGTGGACTAACTAGAAACTGTATTCTGTTCCAGTGTGAACGATTACAAGTTTTGAAAAGACAACGATTTGTTTCCGTTAAGATTTATTTATAATTTGAATAACTAAACTTTAGAAGGATTGTTCATCGCTGATTATGATAGTGATACACCTGATAATGCAGGTAAATTTAATGATTAGGTGGCTGAATACAATTGATGGTAACCAACAGTATTTCTGCTTTAGAAGTTTCAGAAGACAATATGAACGATATTGGAAGAGAAATAAAATCGGTATTTGACGTAGTGGAAGTACGCGGTAATTTTTATGCTGGTGGAAAAACAGATAATGTTTGTCTTCCTGGCCTTTTTATTCATAATATTGGTCATGTATTATTACCATTCTCTGAACTACAAGCAAAATCGATTATCGAGTCAAGCACCATTTGGCATTAAAGATCAAACAGTTTCTGAGAAAACGGTAAAGATGTTTCCTATACACACACCTTCTTTATTTTGAGCTGTAGTGAGATATTGAAATTTTTACGCACTTATAAAAACAGTAGAGTATCAGGAAAGTTTCAGCTCGTTTGCTTGAATCACTTCAACAGCCATTTTCACGAAAATCACTGAACGGATACGACTCAAAATTTTATTGGTCATGATATGAAAATAAAAGCGAAAAAACCAATCGTAGCACATCTATAATACCGATACTAAAATGATTAAAGCACTTTCTTAGCCAGAAACATAGCGGTATTTCATTATGTTAGATCAAGTTGGTTTACAGCCTCGGGTGGCTGGGCGATAGTATCACCTCCATACAACTAAAAAACATTGACTATGGTATGCAAGATGTAACAGCAATACTCTGCTATATATAACATATTTGGAATTATAGGCAGATTTCCTATGACCATGAAACAGATATTCGACGGAAGCAAAAAAATTGAATACACTTGAGCAAAGAGAGATGGACACGTAAAAAATTGTTGGTTTTGATTTTTCAGAGTACGCAAATTAATTGGGATAGAAAAGAGAACGTATTTTGAATTAAAAATATTTAATTTGTAATATTTTCTCAATTACTAAACGTATCACTATACGGTTTCTGCGATATAGTGGTACACTGCATGTCTCATGATTAGATCGGTAGGGAAATCGGCGGCGGCGTGTGACAGAAGTTTTTCAATCAGCGGCGGCGACTAATAGATTATTTAAAGGTTTCCATCTTTAGCGGAGGGTCCAACCGCAACCAAATTTGAGTACAAAAAGCTTTAGTTTAAACCAAGATCCATTGTCAATTTCATCATACTTTTTGTGTATGAGACCATTGAAATTATGGCTAATAAAGATTCTTATCTTATATCGGTAATAGCTATGCACATAGATGACAGAGATATACTGAACCAGTGCTTTCGCCCGTTTCGCATGATATTTTTGCGCAAAACTTTTCCTATCGACGAAGGCTAAAGCAAGCTTTTACGGCGAAGACCCCCACAAAACTTGGACGCCTTCGGCGGCGGCACAAAAATCTAACGGCGGTGACGTGTTCCAAAAAATGTTGACACCTTCGGCGGCGGCGGCAGCGGCGCGGCGCACAGGTCTACTCATGATATGTATATAGGGCTGATTCGATTCTAGTCAGAGGTCACTTATTTTTTTCCGCTTTTATCGACGTAATTGCTTGGCATAATGTCTTCCAACAATTGTTTCAATGCGTCAAAACTAATCTCAACAATCAGTTAATAATAGTTTTACCACAAATTTCAGTAAAAACGTGGTCGACCTAAAAGGGCACGTTTAACTTTAATGCGATAAGCATTTGTTTTTTGTGGAAATAGTTGTTATTTTTTCTTTGAAAATATTTGTTACATTATCTTGTTAGAATTGCCAATAATGAAAATTATGTGATTTTTTTACAGTGTATATAATATGTTTAATTCAAAATGCGTTCAATTGCTCTCCCAATTAATTTGAGTTCTCTAAAAAGTTCAAAACGTTCTCTTTTAAATATTTTCTCTGAAATTTACGAATAATTTACTGGCACTACGGATTATTTGTTGCAAATTTTGAACTTAGGAGAACAGTGCTAGACTGAGTTATGATTTTTTTTCCGACTAGGACCTCGATTTTGAAAAGTGACACTTGATCGTAAGATAGATGTCTATCAGTAACTAATAATAGCCAACTCACTGAATTTTCATAGCATAGATAGAGGAGAGTTACGACTATATTTCGCGGAAAAGAAAAGGTGTTCATCCCCTATAGATCAGAAGATAATAACGTTTTTATTGGAAATTAACCAATTGTTATATCTCGCGATTATCCAGTAAAAGAGACCTCATCATAGTTCTTAAAATCCAGGTTTTATAAATATTTAACAAAAAGAAAATGTACCTCATTAAAACAAAAGGAAGGTGAAGAGAATGTAGCCAAAACAAATAAGGTAACTATCAGCATTGCAATAAAAAAGCTGAGTTTAGCTCTTTCCGTTAACGGAATAACATCCTGACTTACAGTCAAGGGAATAGGTCGTAATTATCCTCGACTCATACTCAACCATCTTCCCTTTGTATTGTTCGCAGAACACTTTTATTTTACTTAATAGCTTCATTTCAAAATCGATCAAACGTATTTGTACTTCTTAATGTTGAAGTGTATTAAGAGTAATTTTGACATTGGTTAGTGCGTGTGTTAATAATCGACAGAGAAAGGTGAAAACAACTCTGTAAAAAGAATTTGCTTTCTTTGTCGCAACAGAGTTTTAGTGGGTGAATGAAGTATCCTATGACTGTGCATAATATTATATTTCATGCGACAGAACTCATTGATCGAAATAACGGGATAGGTCCTGAAGAACAATCGGAAGAAGCTTTGCAAAGTACAAATAAAGATGTGCGAAATTTCCGCGCGTTCCTAAAAATTCTTCTGCACTAACGAAGATGATAGTTTGTTACAAAGTGTATTACAATTCAAGCCACCACGATTCATTATTGGCTATTTTGCCAACTGGCGATTTTGCACTCGAGTTCTGATTATTTTTTCAGATTTTATTGCGCTAGTCATCAGCTTAATTTTTAAAAAATGAATTCCTCGTGCACGCGAAACAATTGCGTCAGACAAGTATTCTCTCTTGAATATCAGTCTTTTAAACCAAACTCTACAAAATTTTAAAGGTCGTAGAATACGAAAACAGAGTGAGACAGTTTGGAAATTGTAATGAACATCGCCAATGCACTATAAAACATAACCACACGAAAAATTATTTCAATAACATCAATCAGTTCCGTGTTACCAAGGGGTTGACGGTGGGACAGTAAACTGGTGTAGTGGAACCTGTAAAATTGTGTTTTGAATTTTTTAAAAGTAGTATAATCAGCGCATCAGCTATTGTATGAAAACTATATTTC